GACTGTAGATTAACCAGCTCACACATTTTACAGACAAGGAAACTGATGCACAGAGAGGCTGACATATCAAAGGTCACATAGCCAGAGAGTGAAGGAGAGAGCATTAAAGTCTAGTGCTTCCTCCATTCACCTCTATTGCTTAAATTTGCAACAATTGTGAAAATCAAGTACATAGATAGAAGCCCTGATGAAATGAAAGTTGGCATTCCTGTTTCCTAATGGCGCACCTAGAATGAGAAACCTGGCCTCATCCTTTTTCATTCACTTATTCCAAAACCTGAGGATGACCTCTCTCCCCCATTGCTGTCACCATTTTACATTTTTCTAATTTTCTTCTCAGAACTATCTAATGTTTTACTTTTCCTTCCATGGAATGAGAAGAAATAGAAAATTCAGACTCTGGGAGGGAAACAGGAAGAAAGGTGGAAAGAAATAAAGGGAAGAGAGAAAAATATAATTTCTCCTTCCCAGCTATTTTTTCTATTTTCAGGTGTCAATATTATTCTAGTGTTTTTGTTTTGTTTTGTTTATTATTATTATTATTTTTAGATGGTGTCTTGCTCATCTCCCAGGCTGGAGTGCAATGGCATGATCTGGGTTCACTGCAACCTCTGCCTCTCGGGTTCAAGCAATTATTCTGCCTCAGGCTCGTGAGTAGCTGGGACTACAGGCACTCACCACCATGCCTGGCCAATTTTTACATTTTTAGTAAAGATGGGAGTTCACCATGTTGGTTAGGCTGGTCTTGAACTCCTGGTCTCAAGTGATCTGCCTGCCTCGGCCTCCCAAAGTCCTGGGATTATAGGTGTGAGCTACCTTGTCTATCCCTGGTGCTGTGTTTTTAAAAATTAGAAAGAAACGAAATGCCTATCAACAACAAAGTCATTAAATAAGTAGTTCTCAATATTTGGTGTGTTTCAGAGTCTCCTCTAAACACTCCTATTTTTTAATTTTAATTTTTATATTTTATTTATTTTTATTTGTTCCATTGGTTAGAAGACACTCCTAAATATATGAATGTTTGAGCCTCATGCCAGACCTTCTGCACAAGCTGGACATTGGCAAGAGGAGAATGACCAAACTTCATAGGTGATCATAATGCAGACTGAAGTCTGCTAAGTACACACCAAATTATATTATGATAAATTCATGCAAAGGAATACTATGCAGCCACCAAAAGGATAATGTAGATCTATATGAATTGACGTTGGTGAATGTCCATAATATGTTGAGTGAAAAGGTCAAGTGAAAGAATTATAATTTTAAGATTATTTCATTTATTTTGTAATATATATCATATAACATATACCTGCAATTATAGCATATTGTGAAAATGTGTGTATGTATGTATAATATCAGAAAGAATATGGAGCCAGTGTTCTACAGTGGTGTTAGGGACTTCCATTTTCCGCCCACTATAGCTCCAGTTTTGAATTTTTATATTGAATCAATTATGAAGCATGCATAACGTATCGAGGGGGAGTGTTAAAATAAGAAACAGCCTAGGAGCTTCTGTCCTTAAATGACAAGGTCAGGGAAGCTTCTGATGAGGATTAAATTAATTAACACTTTAAATAATTTACCACTGTAAAAATGTTTTATTCATCTTCTCCTTGAGCTTACTCTTTTCAACCATTCTAAATTACAGATAGCGCATGTTTAACTTATCTTGTAAATTAACTTCTTCATCTAGAACAGGAAAGAAAACAAAATTTACTGCCTACCTGTTTTGTGGCAAAAGCCACAACTTGTAGTGAGGTTAGTTCACTAGCTTTCGTAAGAGAAAGAATAAAATGATCACTTTCTGGAGAGATACGCTGTTTGCATCACAGGCACTCCTGAAATATATTATTACATACTAACACTGGAGTATCTTGGAACATGAGTGAATATTTTTTTTTCCTGCCTCAGGTTTATTTGTACAAATAGCACAGGAGGACCCCAGCCCCATGCAGATGGCAGTCCCGGGGGAGTCGCACCAGTCCTTCTGGCCTCATGTTGGCAGACAGAGATATCTACTCTGAAGCCTTTGTAGGGGCCTGGGCACCTTTGAGAGCCTGAGCTGGAACTGAAGCTGGAGCTGCAGCCTGGGTCTTGGCCTTGACCTTTGGCGGGCAGAGCCTGAGCCCCTTGGCAATGCGTGCACTAGCACGCTTCCCAAGCTTGTGGTGGGCAATGTAGGCAAGTCGATCGAGCTTGTGGCTGACACTCTGGGATCTTGGGCTTAACCTCCTTGGGCTTTACGAGGGCCTTGATGGCCTCGGCATGTGCACTCATGGCCTTGGCATTGTTGGCCTGCATCTTCTTTAGGCCCTTCTTGTTGTGCTTCTTGGCAAAGCGCATGTTCCTCAGGAACTTGGGGGCCACCCCCTTGAGAGATTCGTATCTTTGTGATTGGGGTTTCTTGATACCACTTCTGTGCCATTTTCGGGACTGGTTGTGTGTGGTGTGGTTCTTGGACTTGGCCATGTCTGCACCTAAGCCGCGGTTCCCGAGGTACCTTGGACCGGAAGAGTGAGTGAATATTTTATTGGAGTGGGAGAATAGGTTCAGTTTTTCTACATGGCATTAAATGTAAAAAAAACCAAACAAAACAGACAGACACTTAAAAATCAATTTACCTTTTCTCACAGATGGGACATGGTTAATAATTTTGAGTCCCTGAGTGAAAAGTTTGGAAAAAGTTGTCTATAATTTTATTTGCAAGGTAAATAATTTCCCAGACACTCTGCAGTGTGGTCACTCCCATGAAAGGAGAAAAAGGACAGAATAGTAGAGGTAATGTATGTTTCTCTGTGTTGTTTCCTTCTGCCTGATTTGGCATTATATTGTGTCTGTGATTTTTAAAAAAAATTATAAATTAGGTAAAATTCTTTTGGTAGGTAGATGGAATATTAATATGGTTATATCAATAAATATTTAACTTCATATGCCTATGTACATTGCTCTACATATATCTCTCAAACTGTAAATTACTCATTAACCATGTGAGTCTTTTCATTTTCCTAAGACTCTGAACCACTTCCTCTGGTTGGTGGTTGTATGTATTGTACAAATGAGCCTATTGTATGTAGGTTGTTTAACTTTAATATGAAAAAAACACTTCCATGGCCATTGCTAGCATCCTTAAACCAACTGGTTAATTCACAAGTATGTAGTGTTGATGAGGAGAGAGCAAAACCCTACATATGGTAATCTTCTAAAAATGCAACCCATCATTACTTTTAGAAAAACAAGCCCAAATACCTGACAGTGTATCAGAGATTTCATATATTTGGAAAATGGTATGACAAACGTTGTACTAAAAATAGATGCAGATCTTTGATATGAGAAAGATCTTGGCTGGGCGTGGTGGCGCATGCTGGTAATCTCAGCATTTTGGAAGGCTGAGGCAGGAGGATCACCTGAGGTCAGGAATTCGAGATCAGCCTGGCCAACATGGTGAAACACCATCTCTACTAAAAATACAAAAAAGTTTAGCTGGGTGTGTGATGGCGCATTCCTGTAATCCCAGCTTCTCAGGAGGCTGAGGCAGGAGAATCGCTTGGACCTAGGAGGCAAAGGTAGCAGTGAGCTGAGGTCATGCTGGCCTGGGCGACAGAGTGACACTCTGTCTCAAAAAAAAAAAGAAAGAAAAATCTCATATTCTTTCATAAAAAGATATTGGTTTTGCCTAACCAGTTCTATCATTTCTAGATATCTTGAAGTCCTCTTCAGATTTGTAACTAATTATAAAATTATTATTATTATAGGTACTTGATGTTTTCACATTTATTGCAAAACTTACAAGACTAATTTTTCACATTCAGTTTTTGCTATTGTCATTAATGTTGGTTTTGTGGAAATTGGAGATAACAAAAAAGGGTTAAAATCCTGGATTTATTGGGATCAAAGACAGTGTGATGGTTAGCCTCTTCTGAATCATAAAGCACTGTCTATTAACTTTCACAATAATATTAAACCTCTTACCCCTGCTAATATATGTGCAAAAGAAGCAATGCAAAATACTTGAGCTCAGAGCTTTAGGTATTTCTCCATATGGATTCTTAGACATTTGTGGAAACAGCTGAGTCATATCTGTCCTTGAATGCATTTGTTTGGTTCTGCCTTAATTCTGTATATATCACACGGCTCCCCCGGCATGCTCAAAGCACCAGCTATTTAGACTCAGTCTTTTCCTAATACTGGCCGAACCTCCAACCTCAGATATGGTGAAAATCTGCATCTCTCTTCTACTGCTGAAGACTTTCTAGGGGCTTATGTTTTCTGAAGTCAGGTTCTGTCCCAATTTCTGGTTGAGGATGAAATTTCTTTCATATTGTTCTAACAGTAGTTCTTCTTGATTCTCAGTCCTAAAACAATCCAAAACAGGAAGCAGAGTCCCTATTCCATTAATTTCTCCCACTGATCCTAGCCACATACCATAAACAAGGCAGTGGATGTAACTGGCTTTTCTGAAGGATAGGCATAATATAAAACTGAGAAAGCTTGTCCTTAGAAATCTGTGTCATTCTTGTATTTTTTTTTCTCCTCAGGCCCCAGCTACCCAGTATTTTCTGAGCCCTTGTATCTCTCCTCAAATTTTTCACTTTTTTCACTTTCTGCCCATTCTTATGAAGAGAGAATTTTTTCCCTCTTTTCCTTGCTCCTTTGCTTTTCAGAACTCCTTTTCTTCAGCTAGGATGACTATCAAGATGTTTTGCTAAACCAAAGAGTTTTTCCTCTAAAAGAAATTCTGCCACAAGCTAATTTTTTTAAATCAAAAGAATAATGCAGGCATAAGATTTTAAAACTTTCCACAGAGAATGCAGAGAAAGTGTGATTTTCTCCCACCCCATACTGCAAATGCCCAAATTCTCATGGTTCTTCCTCAAAGGTATCTTTGTGCCAGTTTCCTGGGTACATAAGTGTGTTTATATCCTCATGTTTTGAAAAGTATTGTGCTGTGTACCTCCCATTTCCGCTGTATATCCACTTTTGACCTTTTTTTCCTCACTCAGAGTTCCTCTTAGATGCATCCTCAGGCTCCTGCACTGTGGGCTTCACGTTGGAAGATGAGAGGAGAAGAGAGGTGGGGCCTTGGCCTGGCTTCCTGAGATCCCACTGTGGCTCTCTCTGGTGACTCTTCTCTTCCATGTATGCTATTTGTGCCTTTCCTTCACCTGTTTAGGCCTTTTTGTGGTTACAGTGCTTCATCCTCTCTCTAGAGGTTTCTCTGCACCCCACCCGGAACTTATAAACAGTCTCCTTTTAAAACTCAGATCATCCAGCATGACTGTGCTATATGCTGCCTTGAGGGAATCCCAAAAATACAAAGCAGAGCACCACATGTATGATTTTCTGGAGCTTAGCTGTCAGGCCATATCAACTTGCATGCAATCAACCTGAGGCCTTTATAAGCATAATTTCCACTTCCACTGATGTAATTTATTTACCCAGTCCCTTATTGGTGGCAAATAGTTTGTTTCCGGTCATACTATGTATAACTTTACTGCAAACATAGATCCCCGTGTTTGTGTCTTTGCACATATGTGTAAGTATTAACTGCAGGATAATTTTTAAAAATAGTAATTGCTATGCCAAAGAGTATTTGTATTTAAAATATTAATAAATACTGACAAGTGTGCCACTTAGAGGCTTGCATTAGTCTATACTGCCATTGACAGTGTCTTGCCAGTATAGTGTATTATCTGCCAGACCAATAGGTGCAAGAAGGTATCTTTTTGCCATTTCAATTTGCATATTCAAATTTAAGATTCGTAACAACTTTCCATATACTTATAATGATTATTTCCCCTGAGAAGCTCGTTTCTCTATTTCTCTTATGTAAGTGCTTTTCAAAATATTATGTAATATATTCTTCTTATATAAATGCTTTTTTAAATAATAAGGAAATTAATTCTTTTTCTCTCATGCATTTCAAATTTTTATTTTCATATTGCATTGATTTATAACTTTACTTTTGAAACACTTCCAATAAAGAAAACTTAAATTTTGTATAGTAGCATTTATTAATCATTTATTTTCTTTGTTATCAAGACCTTCCCCCTTCTGAGACAATAGAAAGATTCACACTTTACCTAGTATTTTAACTATTTTATTTTTTACGTTTTTATGTTTAAACATTGAACTGTGGACATTTTTGGTATAAAAAATTAAGCAGGTCTAGTTTCTCCCTGATGTTAGCATTATTCCTTCTCCACTTAATGACTATTCTTATGTTTCTCCATGACTTGAAAAAACACCACTTTTGTATATGTATTAGTTTGTTCTTGCACTGCTATAAAGAAATATCTGAGACTAAGTAATTTATAAAGAAAAGAAGTTTAATTGGCTCACTGTTTTGTTTTGCAGGCTGTACAGAAGCACAGTAGCTTCTGTTTCTAGGAGGCCTCAGGAGATTTACAATCATGATGGAAGGTGAAGGAGAACCAGGAATGTCTTACACGGCCAGAGCAGGAGCAAGAGAGAGGAAGAGGGGAGCTACACACTTTTAAAACAACCAGATCTTGTGATAATTCACTCACTCACTAACACAAGAACAGCACTGAGGAGATGGTGCTAAATCATTCATGAGAACTCTGCCTCTATAATCTAATCACCTCTCACCAGGCCCCACCTCCAACACTGGGGAATTTCTTTTTTGTTCCATTGTTTTTGTTAATCTAATTTATTAGTTGTCATAGGCTATGCTATGCCTGAACTATCAGTTGATTAATAAAATGAAGGTCAAGTTCTCCCTCAGACTCTATGGCAATGTGGATTATTGCTACAAATGGGTGTGTTCCCTATGGTCACTCAGAGATCCAGGTTGATATACACACCACTGATCTTATGACACCAAAGACCATCCTTGTAGTCTAAAATATGGTCAATTTTATAAATTTCCCATAAGCACTTGAAGCAAAAGTATATTCTCTTTCACAGAGTATGAAGTTTCACATATATTTTAGTTAGATCAACATGCTTAATTATATCATTTGCTTCCTCTATATATTATTCATGTCTACATGGCTTTCTTAGATTAAGAATAATAAATTATATTTCTTCTACTGTTCTATTTTTTCATTTCTTTAGTTTTGCTGAACAATTTTTAAGAGCTCCTTTGAATTAAAAACATGTGTTGAGTTGTAATATACATATAGTAAAGGACATACCTCTTATGTGTAAAGATTGATGATTCTTTATGTGTGACCACCAGGATCCCAGAAGATACTTTCTTGCCCTCTCCCAGTTAGTACCCTGACAAAAATAATCTGTATATTAGTTTTGCCTGTTTTGGATCTTTATATAAACTCCCTTCTTTCCCACCATCTGATTTTGCTAGGTTAAAGAATTACTTTAGTAATTTCCTCTTTATTTTCAAACACATTAGACCTCTATAACTTGATTAATAAGCTTTAAACAAATTCCTTTTCTTTCCTCTATGATAGATAAGGAAACAAATAACCTTACATAACTACTGCCTTTCTCTTTGCTTCCTCTTCCCAATTTTAGTGAGTTCAGTCATTACAGTTATTATACAATAACCTAATTGTTCAGTTTTTGTTTATCCTAAATTTCTATTGACCCAATGGTCACCATTATTCCCTTCACCATTGTTTCTCCTTCAGCACTTTGAGAGCAGAAGTTCTTGTATAGCAGGTTTTTTCAAGAAGAGACTCATGGGAAGTATATTTCCTGATTTCTTTCACGTTTGATAGTATCTGTCTGGGCCGGGTACAGTTGGCTCATGCTTGTAATCCCAGCACTTTGGGAGGCCGAAGCAGGTGGATCATGAGGTCTGGAATTTGAGACGAGCCTGGCCAACATGGTGAAACCCCGTCTCTATTAAAGATACAAAAATTTAGCCAGGCATGGTGGCATAATCCCAGCTACTTGGGAGGCAGGGGCAGGAGAATCTTGAACCCAGGAGGTGATGGCTGCAGTAAGCCACTGCATTCCAGCCTGGATGACCAGGCAAGACTCTGTCTCAAGAAAAGAAAAAGAAAAAAGATAAAAAATGTTATCTGTCTATTGCCTTTATTCTAAGCAACCAGATGTGTGGGTCTAAAATTATTACAGGGTGTTTTCTTTCCCTGATGACTACTTTTGAAAATGATTGTAGAACTCAATGTTCCTATAGAGAAGTCTGAGCCATTAAGGCCAGAAAAGAATTACTTTTTTTTGAGACAGAGTCTTGCTCTGTCACCCAGGTTACAGTGGCACAATCTTGGCTCACTGCAACCTCTACCTCCTGGGGTCAAGTGATTTTTGTGCCTCAGCCTCCCAAGTAGCTGGCACTAGAGGCATGCATCATCACACTTGGCTAATTTTTGTATTTTAGTAGAGACAGGGTTCCACCATGTTGGCCAGGCTGGTCTTGAACTCCTGACCTCAGGTGATCCACCTGCCCTGGCCTCCCAAAGTGCTGAGATTACAGGCATGAGCCACTGTACCTGACTTTACTTTTTCTTTTTAATGAGCTGACCATTTTTGTTTGGATGCCCTTAAGATGCTTTCCTTTCTGCTATTTATTGAGTATATTGATTGGTGGTAATCAATATATATTATTTTTTTCTTGGGACATGTTGTGTTCTTTTTCTCTTTCTTTCTTTCTTTCTTTCTTTCTTTCTTTCTTTCTTTCTTTCTCTCTTTCTCCTTCCTTTCCCTTCCTTCCTTCCTTCCTTCTTTCCCTTCCTCCCTTCCTTCCTTCCTTCCTTTCTCCTTCCTTCCTTCCTTCCTTCCTTCCTTCCTTTCCTTCTTTCCTTCTTTCTTTCTTTCTTTCTTTCTTTCTTTCTTTCTTTCTTTCTTTCTTTCTTTCTTTCTTTCTTTCTTTCTTTCTTTCCTTCCTTCCTTCCTTCCTTTCTTTTCGATGGAGTCTTGCTCTGTTGCCCAGGCTGGAGTGCAGTGGGGCGATCTTGGCTCATTGCAACCTCCAACTTCTGGGTTTAAGTGATTCTCCTGCCTCAGCCTTCCTGTAGCTGGGATTACTGGTGCACACCACCATGCCTGGCTAATTGTTTTGTATTTTCAGTAGAGACAGTTTCACCATGTTGTCTAGGCTGGTCTTGAACTCCTAACCTTAAGTGATCTACCCACTTAGCCTCCCAAAGTGAAGTGCTGTGATTACAGGTGTGAGCTACTGCACCTGACCAATCTTGTGTTCTTTGAGCCTGTTGATTTAAGATTTCAACTTCTTGTAAGATGGTAAACTGAGTATTTAAGAGGGAAGCCTCCTTTCCATTGTAAAGACCTTGAAATCGTCAAAAACAAGAAGAGAAAAGTGAGGTCATAATTGAATTAAATATATAGCTTAGAATCTAACAAGAATGAAGTATACAGAGATGAAAAAATGAAAAAATTAAAAGAGAAGGCAACCAACAGGCAGAGAATGGGAAGATCCAACAAATGCCAAATAGAATCCCTGAAGGAGCCTCTTCATAGAGAGAATGAGTGGAAAGCAACATTCAGAGGACTAATGGCTGAGAACTTCCCAGACTTTAAGAAAGACACTGTAACCGAGTCTTTACCAGGATAAATGAAAACACATTAATGAGAAATAAGATACTGAAACCACAGAACATCAGGGAAAAAACCTGTAATAGTGATAGAAATTATCTACAAAAGAATGATAATGAGACAAATAGCAACCATAGATACCATAAGACAATTAAATAATATCTTCAAAGGTTGGGGGAAAAACCCAACAACCTACATTTCTATACCAAGCTAACAATATAACAGTGAAAAGGAGGCTTAGCATGACTAACTCCATTTTGTTCCTAACCCTCTCATCCATGTGATATTTTTAGGTTAACTGCTTTTGCTTTCCTCTGCTCATAGGCCAAGCTAACTATGGGAGGAATTTAGTTTGTAGTTAAACTTTAAAGCAAGGATGATAATAGTTCCCCCTAAACTAATCTGAAGAGGTAATGAGGGTGTACACACAAGTAACAATGTTATGTTAAGGACTTCCAGGGGGAAGGACAAGGTTTCACCCTCACCTCCAGTCCTCGCTGCCATCCAGATGTCTGTGATCATTGGTCACCTCTGTACCTCAAACCTTTCCCTCTTCCCCATTCCCCCAACCTTAAGGAAGCCTGAGATTTCTATTAACTTATGATGGTTCTTTAGGACATTAGTCTGCCTGCCATCTTGTCTCTCTTTTTTCCCAGGGGGGACAGGGTCTCACTCCATTGCCCAGGCTGGAATGCAGCGGCACAATCTCAGTTCACTATAGCCTCTACCTACTGTGCTCAGGTGATGATCCTCCCACCTCAGCCTTCTGAGTGGTTGGGACTACAGGTGTCCACCACCATGCCCAGCTAATTTTTGTATTTTTTAGTAGAGATTGTGTTTTGCCATGTTGCCAAGGCTGGTCTCTAACTCCTGGGCTCCAGTGATCCACTTGTCTCAACCTCCCGAAGTGTTGGGATTACAGGTGTGAGCCACCGTGCCTGACCTAACTGGCTTTCTAAAAGTCACTTTCCTTGCTACAACACTTTGTCTCTCAGCTGATTGGCTGTTGTACTGTGAGTGGAAACCTAATTGGTCATAATTGTAAATATTGTTATAGTAAGGGTATTGTCTCTTGCCATGGAGGCATGCTTACTGTGGTGCCTTAAACTATCTATTTTAAGATAAGTAATTGTAATTTTCTATTTTGGTTACTCTCCAACATTCATGGTTACATTTAGGAAGAATTCACATCTTTATAATATTGAATTTCCTATCCTTTTCATTATTTATTTATTTATTTATTTAAAGAAAGGCACTCTACTGCCCAGGCTGGAGTACAATGGCATGAACTCGGCTCACTGTGATCTCTGCCTCCCCAGATCAAGCGATTCTCTTGCCTCAGTCTCCTGAATAGCTGAGATTACAAGTGTGTGCCACCACACCTGGCTTTTTCTTCTCTTTTTTTGAGACATGGTCTCACTCTGTCTCCCAGGCTAGAGTGGCATGATCACAGCTCGTTGCAACCTCGACCTCCTGGGCTCAAGTGATCCTCCCACCTCAGCCTCCTGAGTAGCTGGGACTACAGGCGTGTACTACCATGCTTGGGTAATTTTTGCATTTTTTTTATAGAGAGGGGGTCCCACTATATTGCCCAGGCTGGTCTTGTACTCCTGGGCTCAAGCAATCCTCCTGCCTCAGCCTCCCTAAGTGCTAGGATTACAATCATAAGCCACTGTACCCAGCCAGTCCTTTTCCTTTTCAAGCCTTCTTTTTTGTCTTCACTTTATTGATGTTTTTTCTTCACATTAGTTTTGTACATTTCCTTTTCAGTTTATTTATCGGTATTATGTATATTTTGTTGCTACTGCACTTGAGATCTTTTTGTTGTTATTATATGATCTCATGTTAACATTTGTATGAAGTAAGCTAAAATATTTTATTAATTTTATAATATAATTGGGTATGTCATATCTCCCATTTGCTGTTTGTCTTTATGATACTTTAAAAAGTAGAATATGCTGCATATGTAACAGGTACTTACATATTTATCTCTGATACTCTGTTAATAGGACTTTTCTCCATGCATTAAGTGCCATCATATGTTCCACCAGTGATGTACTGGTGTACACAAGCAATAAGCAAAGTCGAAACTGTCCTGAGCGGAGTGGTTCCACAGTGTGTGTTGTGTTTTCGTGTTCTCTGCCTGAGCCTCTCTTTCCAGTTTTTATCTTGAGTTCTAATAAATCATTTTTATATGCATTGACTTCCAAAGTTATGGTACCAACAAGGGCAGAAAATCAACA